TGCAGAGATTGCACCATGCTAGATGTGCAAGAAGCTGTGTTAGCCTGAAAGCAGAAAATGAAATTAAGGGGAAAAGGGGGCAGCGCAAGGGAAGCATCTGCAGGCAGCGGCTGCGCGCCAAGCGGCAAGGCTTGGCCAGGGCTGCAGCCAGTTTGCTCTAAGCATTTCTTGCTAGAGGGGCAAAGCACCCCGAGGAGCTCAACTGAGGAAAGACACCCTGAAACGCCCCAGACAGCGCAGCCTGCCAGGRCCACAGTTTGCCATGCCGTTCCCAAGCTCACTGCACGTGCTGGTGGGAAAGGCAGGTTGCGCTCGGTGCCCGCAGTGTCCCCACATGGTCCCAGYGGCGGCAGCAGCCGCCCAGGAACTGTTTTCCCTTATGAGGAGCCCCAAATATCAGAGCCCGAATGGTGCAAACTGCTCCGCACGGAGATGAGYTAGTGTTAACTGCAGTAGGGAGGACTGCAGCGGATCCATGGATCAGGCTCTTCCAAAGAGCCACAATGGAAGTTTTCAGCTGCCCATCTCCCCTAACACTTCCCCTAAGGTGGAAGCCTTTTTTCCTTTCCCTTGTGACAAAATACAGTGTGAGCTGGTGAAACCGAGAAGCCTGATCTGCCTTTTCCACTCACACCCGGAACTCACCGCTTAGGAAGACGTGCTCAGCACAGCTGGTGATGAGCCATTCGGGTTCGGACTTGATAATCCAGGCTTAAGGCCAGCAGGGTAGGCTAGTGCTCTCCCTGCTCCACTCACCCGTGTGGTCTGGTAGCCAGGACTTCCTTAAAATCCAAGTATGCAGAAACAAATCCATAYGTGCGTCACCCAACCAGAACTGTCCCTGTCGGGCTGAGTATTTTTATGTATTGGGGGTTAAACAAGTCAGGTCCTCTTACAAAGACACCCTGCACTGAGCTTGACACGGGAAGTGTCTAGAAATCTTGGGAATTTGCACAGCTTCCAGGATGTCCCCAGCTCGTAACAGTTAGAGCAATGACTCCTTTTCAGGAAAAATATGCAATTGTCTAAAACCAGCTCTCATGTAGCATTAATTATCTGCATGCATGTTAACACGTGTGAATTCCAGCTATTAACATCTACAATTATGAGGGCTTTTAGATGACATCAGCTTTCCAGTGGGCAGCCACCTATAAAATATATAAATTAAAACTGAAATTTGATGGCCACAGCTTAAACCCCATGAGATTTATGGCAGCTGCATGTGTARCTTGCAGTCTTTCGGGGTGCAAACGGAGATTTTTGGGCCAACTTTTTGACATTTCTGTAAAAACACCGGAGCCTCCGTGCTTGAAGTTTAGCCCTGGCAGATTCTGGAGGAAGGGCCTYGCAGAAGGCAGGCGAATTCCTCTGCACAGGGAACTCGGTCAGGCCTTAGGATCCCATTCCACATGTGCCACTTCTTTGAATATGACTGTATATGACTATATATAAATATTTGCACACAAATATATTTTCTCTCAAAACACTTTGTATGAGATGCAGGACACGGCTCTGCGCCTCAAAGCATTCACCCCAAAAGAGGCCAGTGAGACYGAAAACAGTGCATTATAATTCCTTGAGATGTGAGAAAGACACAGCTCAGAGAACAGGTTCTCTGGCAATTCAGGGCTGTAGATTGGATTTGGGGGATGAGTTCTTCTCCCAAGCATGCTGAACACCAGCACAGGATATTATTTCCAAGGCGGATTGCTGCAGCCTCCCTGTTTCCCAGCAGCGAGATTACAGGGGCCAGATCTGCTCGTGTGAAGCTGCAACAGCCTCAGGCTAGTGGAAAAATAAATGCATAATCCGACCTCCAGGCTGCAAAGGCTATGGGAGAGGGCTGGGCATGCCCCTGCAGCGGCGCTCCTGCTTGCTCAGTTCCCTTGCAGTGCACATGAGCTCAATTTGAACCCAGGTATGCAACGATTAAAGAAAAATAATATTGCTTACAGGTAAATTTATGCTTGAAACTCAGATGCGGGATGATGAACACTTTTTTATYGTGTCTTGCATAAGTTATAAGGCCTACATTGATTGTGAGGGTGCTTTAGCAAACTGAAGAAGATATAATGGGAGCGGGAAACATCTTGCTGGCCTTGTGGCTCAACTGAGGTCATTGCCACTGCAAAAGAACAACGATCTGTGCATTATGGTAATATGTTGCCTATCAAACACATACCTTGTTTGAGGCTTAAAAAAGTAATCTCCAATATGTTCCACAGAGAAATAAAGGTCTGTTTTTCTAAAGCGTGGGAAAAGACAAAGAAAGGCATCACAGCTCTAACTGGCAACTCAAAATAAGCATCACTTTGGCATACTTGTTTTTGCTTAATATTCTTCTTGTTGTTAAGAATACTTTTATTAAATTGCTTCTCCACGAGGCTATTTCTGCTTATCAAAGTTTTTCCCCAAATTTTGCTCTTGTAGAGGACAGACACTGCATTGCCAGTGGAGGTGGTGGGTGCTGAGGCTGTGGGTGCTCTGCATTAACCTCCCCAAGAAGCTGAATGTCAGAGGTTAATGAGGATGTTTGAAACCCACTGAGACACCAGCCTGAGCAACCAAGGCTGTAATGGCCTTTTGAAAATGTTTGTTATCATTTTTTAAGGTAGGTGCAAATAAATTAATTGTGAACTTTTAAAAGAATGCCTTTTCTGTGGTCAACCCTGGCCACACAGCTACAAAGCACTTTGCAGAGATGCCTTGCCTTGTCTCTCTATTCAGTGTAAAAGCACTTAGGCTTGGTTATCGGCTTCCTGAAGGTCAGGTTTATTTCTTTACCTCTATTGTGTACTGCTTGAAATTTCCAATTCCATCCTTCTGGCTATTACAGCTCCCTTCCCCAACTCCTATTCTTTTCACGACAGCCCCATGTGATGACTGTTGATAAAGGTAAGAGGCCCACGTTTCTAAATGTCTGACCTTCGACCAAACCTGATAATGGATATGGTTTCTGAAGCACAGGTCAGCTCAATTTTGCCAATAAACCATTTATTTCCAGTGGCCATCGGACCTTGAGGCTTACTGTGTGCACTGCAAAGCAGATCCTTCTGGGAATAATAAAACAAAGAGTCATCCTTACCATTTTAGAAGGGATGTTGTGATTTGGAGAACATGTTTGCCCACAACATCTCAAGCATCATAGTCTAAAGCCTTCATCGCTCTAAACRCTTGCTGCCTGTTGCACAAAGCTGAGAGTTGTGTCTAATAAGAACTAATAGGAGGTTTCCTTTCTGTCTGCAGTCTTTTTGGAAGGGAGCAGAAGCAGCCATGTCCCAAAACCTCCCTGTCTCCCGAGGACTATCCGATCACCTTCACCACATTCCTCGGCTTACGCTCAGGGCACCGTGCCAAGCTTGACATCAGCCCCTCAGGCGCAGCGCTGCCGTGGCAAGACCCGATGACGCTGTGCTTGTACAAGCTGTGCCCGTGCCAACGTACACAATTTGCTGACCCAGTTGCCTGCCAGCCTCCCGGAACGGCTTGAGTGAGAAGCAGCTCGCCAAGCGAAACGAGTCGCTCTTGCAAAAACGCAGCYGAAGGGACAACAGTTCCCCAAAGGCAACACTGGATGCAAACAACTGAGCGATAGGCAGGGGAAGGAGTAACAAAAACSTACCCTGTTCAAGCAGTATTCGGATACCACAGGAGTGAAGGCTCCTGARATGAATGGACATGATCTGACTCACCATCAAAGCTTCTGTGCTGAGCTGTTAGGATCATCTGCACGGAGCGACCTGCTTCCTTCGTCATGGCTTCGAACTCGCTGCGGCTTTTGTTTGCGAAGTTCTCCTCCATCTCGCTGGTGCAGCACGTGTAGCCTTGCGGGCAGATCCGCAGGTGCTCCCCTGAAACAAGGGAAAACAGAGTTGAAGGGCCTGCTCGGGAAAAGGGTGAATTTCTTCCCAGGTAACTCAGCACAAAGACTTGCCAATATGGTCGGATTTTACCCTCCTTTCCCTAGTATCATGGATACTGAGGTCATGATCCAAAACTGCCAGCAAGATAAATCTAGCAGGGAAAGACTCTGGGCATTGCGAGGGGGCAGAAATAGAAGTGTCTACTGCCCCAGGTCTGCGCTATGCCCTGAGCAGACCCCAAAATCTCTGATCAAATGACATGTTAATGACAGCATCTCCCACCAAGCCAACTAAGATGAAGGCCAAGGACAGCGGCACGTCCTACAGCATCTCCCAACAACCCCAACTAAGATGAAGGCCAGGGACAACTGCATGTCCTACAGCACCTCCCAGCAACCCCAACTCCAATGGAGGTCAGGGACAACAGCACATTCTACACCGTGTCCCAACAAACCCAACTCGGATGGAGGCCAAGGACAGCAACACGTCCTACTCTATGTCCCAACAACCCCAACAAGGATGAAGGTCACGGACAATGGCATATCCTACAGCGCACGGGCAGGCSAGGAGGCCAAGAAGCCCCTTCCTTTCCCTGCTGCAACCGAGGATTTGYACCCAAATCCACCCACCTGTAGGGTCCAGGAACCGAGGACACAATTCACATGAGGATCACAGCGTTCTCTGCAGTTGCTGACATCAAATTGAGCTCGATACTGCCCCAACCAGAGTGCAAACCGGGAAGCCACCCGTGCTGCCGACACGAGCGCTAGCAAACCACGGGCACCCTCCTCCTTGTGCCCAYCGCCAGCAAACACACACCATCTTCCCATTTTCTGATCACTTATCAAGAATATTGGCTTGCTYGGCTTAGGTTTGCCCTCAGTGCCAGGGAAAGGGGTGAAGATTAAGCATCCTGCCTAAGCTCGGAGGTTTTGCTCCCCGATAACCAAGCAGGCATCGCGTTGCACACGTGGAGGGGGCAGCAGGCAAGCGGCCTTGGGGCAGCGACCAGAGCAGAACAGCTCCACACTCGGCCCAGGACCACCCCCGGGCGATGAGCCAAGACCAGCTAAACCAGAGGTTCTCCTCCTTTCAACCCCTGTTTTCCTGCTCTCCMGTGGAAGTTAGTAGGACATCCGAGCACTGTTTAAATGCCTCGCGCTGTCTCAGCTGGCTTTATAATTTGCAGTAAAAATATCTTTTCCAGCAGTTTGGTAGAGAGTTGTGGAGTGATTCGGGGCCAAATCCACACGTCCCACATGCAGCAAAGAGTCGCTGCTCCTTGGACRAGCTCGGAGCACCCAGAGCAAAGCTGCCCGTGCCCTCCTTGGTGCCCGTCCCCAGCCCTGGCAGGCGCTTCCAGAGCCGTCCTGAGCACAACAGCTTCTCACCACGTTCCCATTAAGATTTTGCTCGAAATCAAGAGGCTTTTGACCCACAACTTCCTGCGACCCAAAATAAGACTGGACTCCAAACCTGTGGCTCCTCTCTCGGATACAGCTTCACTGGAAGCTTCACAACAACCCAAATACTACTTCACRGGAGGCAAAGCAATTCGTTAGGCAGAATCTTTTCCTATTTCTTTCTCAGAAAAAAATACCTACTAGAGAAACTATGAGGCTTTTACACCAGCAGCTTGTGGCCTGGATCTCRGATCTCGGTACTGAACTGAAGATTAAAGACGGTCTTCCCACTAAGAAGAGTTATAGGTGATGGCTTTTGGTTTATTTTGACTTTAAAAAAAGAAAGGTTCCTGGGCAGTAATTCCTATAATCCAGGACAGGAACCTGAGGAAGGGGTTGGTCAAACAAGAAAGGCCTCTCCAAAGGTGACCCTGTCCTTTGGGCTGAGCCCCTTGCCACTGCGCCATGGAAGAACGTGCCCACTATCAGCAAACTGCTTCCCAAAGGAAAGGGAACAGAGAAACCTCAGGCAAAATCCGTCTGCTGGGGAGAAAGGGAGCGGGTTTCGCAGCTGACAAAGACACCYCCATCTTTAGACACTTATCAAACAAAAGAAGTCACTCAAGCTAAATCCGATCCTGAGGGTTTGCCTAAAAAAACACAATGCCTATGCCAAAAATAAATTAGGCTTAATTACAGTCATTAATCTTGAATTCCATAAGTGCCTGTACTTCTCAGAAGTTTAGATAAAGATGCATGCAACGAGTTGTCTGAGCCCCGCACATCTAGGATCGTCCTTCTTTTTGATCTCTGTAAAAAGGTTTTAGGTGTTTCCTACGGAAAGCTGCAGGTTAATGCCCTGAGCTAGGAGCGCTTGTACTTCTCCTGGAGCTCTGCTGTGCGTGTTGAAGTGAAGGGGGAAATCCTGCCTGTCATGGGACTTTCTCAGCTTGCATCTCTGGAAGGTCTCAGAAATGCCCAGCTTTACCCCAGCTTTTTTGGTGACGTTTTGGCCAGCAGAAAGTGCTGCACAACCACGGAAGCCATTGACTCCACTCGAGCCATCCCGAAACCACTCGAGCCATCCCGAAAGGCAACCGAAAGCACCAGGTCACCTCCCGAGAACGTGACATCGCAGACTTGCAGCTTATGCTGTTGATCAGGGAGGAAGGAACCTGCTTCCAGGCTGGTGGATCCACCACGTTTCCACCCCGTGTGGCAGCTCCCGGGCGCGGGTCTATCCCGGCGGGAGCACCGAGCCCTGCAGCATCCTGCGGGGTGCGCTCGGAGCACCCGGCCCCCAGGCCCCGCACCGGAGCGGGATATTTGAGGAAACCTCTGCTTGGGAAGTTAATGAAAACGTTCATTAACATCTGTTCCCGGAGCACCGGGAACAGACGACCGAGCAGGGCTGCCAGGATCCTTCTCGCGGCGAGATGCGCGCCGGGTTTGTGGGGGAGCCTATTTATAACCCTGACAAACAGCTCGCCCAGTCATTTCAGACTTAATCACAGCTGTCTGCCCCGCTCGCGGCAGAGATGTTTCCAAAAAGTACGTGCCAGCACCAGGGGAACAAAAGCAAGCGAACCGCATGCAAAAGAATGCACCCCSCCTTGCTCCCCAACCATCAAACAGCCCAGGAGCACCGGCAGGCAGGAGCCGGGCCCTGGGAAAGCCTTTGCAGTGGAATTGCAGGGTCATTACTCGTGGCACCACACGGCTATCGTTAGGCAGTGCTGCCACTTCACTGCAAACCCCTGTTCTCATCGGGCTGCCAATTTAGCGGAGGCTTTAAAATACAAGAGTCCTAGAAGTTAAAATACCCACAGTGGCTACAACTCAGCTTTCCTTGGGCACGTTTGTAAGTCGGTTGTTAATTGCTATGCATTTAGGGGCCTTCACATTTAGTATAAAGCCTGCCTTAACATCTAGTGCCAAAGATGGGTTTCCACTCGGTGGGACACGGTGGTTAGTTTTTTCCCTGCATTTCTTTGCATTTTTCCTTCTTTCCAACAGCACCTTCCTGGGGTCACACGAGGCGCCTTTCTGCTGCACTAGCCCCCTGGCCCTGCGTTCCCAGCCCCTTCCTCCCTGCCTTCCTCCTTCCTCTTCATCACAGCTCGCACCACAGCACGGACACCCGCACGGTCGGGACCGCCGCAGGGCGAGCGAAAGCAGCAGGAGAWATACCTCGGCTGGGTATTTTTATCCCAGCAAACATTAAACAGAGCCTCGTGCAACATTTCCAATTGCTCAGGGAAACAGAGCGCTGTTTACACACGTAAACACGTAGGAAAAATGTATTTGCTGTTTTCCAGGCAGCTCTGGCTGAGGCTCTGCATCCCTGGACACGAGTGAGTTCTCCCTTCGGACCACCCAGCAAGAAGGGCAGCCTCTCYGGGCCCTCGACCTGGATGCCACCGGCACCAGCGGACACCTTCTGTGAGCACAGAAAACCACAGCCATCCAGTATGGAAAAAAACACCAGAAAACTGAGAGTTTAAAGGCTTGCAAGYCTGGAACTCAGTCTGGAACCACAGAGGACCTCATCTAGTGTTTGTACCAGCACCTTTTTGGCAAAGCTTTTTTAAAGCACAGGACTAGTTGAGCCGGGTCATTTGGATAACCTGGACCACCCTGCGGAGGTCCTGGTGTCCTTGGCATTTCCCAGCAGGATGGGCCCATGCCGCACCACTTCCCTAAGGCTGGAAGAAGGGCATGTGAGGTGGCATCGGGCAGGATTTCCAAGGGAAACACCAGGGGTGAAGAACTGCCCCTCACAGCACTAGTACWGTCAATTGCCAGGGGAGCAAATATTCCAGCACCTTGTCCGCTTGTGCAAACCAGGAGAACAAAAGCCTCCCTTAAGAAAGAACTCACTTATTGCTACTACAAMGTGTAGCAACCTCAGTCCGTTTGTTGCAGTTGATTACTGAACTCCTGCCCTGCCTTAAAAAAACAAAAGTTAAAAAAAAAAAAAAAAACAGATAATGTGGAATTCTTAAATGTATTCCTTGCACCTGCTTTTGAGAGCAGCACCAGGAAATCGGGAGCAAATGAGCTCAGTTCAAAGACACAAAAYGAGCTCTATTCAAAGACACCTTAGGAGACCTTGTGGACCAGTCAGTAAATGATCACACTTTTAGAAGATGCATTTAGGTTTCCACATACCATGTATGCAAACAGGTGAGCTATTCCCACTAGGAAAAACCTGTGGCTTTTCAGAGAATATCCTATACCCCACATCCCGGTACTTAACTAGGTCAAGCTCTAGGATCCCAGGAAAAGATGCAGGATTTCCTTTCACCCCTTAAGTTGTCTATCCGAGCACCTTTGCTCTGAGTAGTCACATTTCTTGCAGGCCAACACCTTGTTCCCCGTTGCTTGTCACCCATTTTCTCCTTCTCCACTTACCAAGGAAGCTGGGACCATTCTCTGCATCAGGAAACACTTTCGTCAAGGCACGTAGGATTTCCAGGCTCAGTTCTGCCAACAGGGCATGTTCTTATATTCCTACAGATGCCACCTACCACCACCACACATRCACCAGCCTCGGCCCCTTCGGCGTGGGTATAATTCACAAA